TATTACACAGCTGAGCGTGTAGCGTAGAGGCGCGAAAGAGACTGCATCCAATGCAGCCTTATTGGGCTTGGTAGTGCCTCACGGACGGTTTGTTCGTATCGTACGAACACTGACGTCCGAGTACCTGTTCGTCTCTGTATGCTTGGCGAAGTCGCTTCAGGGGCCCATGCGTCATCCCCACAAGCCAAAAGCGTAAACCGATCGCGCTGGCACTAGGGCTGTCGGCCGTGCAACGCAAAGCTCGCGTGGGATGGCTGTGCAACGCAAAGCTCGCGTGGGATGGCGACCAGCCGCCGGGCGATTTCAATAATACCCTTGAATGAAATCATTTTCGGCAGATTACTGGGCCAATCAAAAGGCACCCCTCCCACGTTATGGACCTCAAGCAGATCATGATGCTCTTGCTCAGTTTTTGTGCCACTCACCGGCAAGCCCATGTGGAAGAGCATCAACAGCAGGGCCAGCTTCTTCACGAAACTTGTGCCTGCGCCATGCACCACGTTTCTGTTTGTTGCCCGTACTGCAGAGAAAGTTTCCCAAGGCAGGCCTACCTAGGAGCCCACAAGAAAAAATGCAAGCAGGCAGCAGTAGATGAAGCTGAGGCACAAGAGGCTGACGCTTCTGACTCACCGCCACCCGTGAAGTCTCGTCGTTTGCGTGGGAGCTTCCAACTCACCGGTCGTGCCTTGCAAGAGCGGTATGAGGATAGGATCCGACTGGCAGCGCAAGATTCGAATGTTATCCTGCCAGCCGCCGGCCTTAGCAAAACGTTTTCGCCCCATTTCGCACTGGATGCAACAGGGCAGGATGAACAACCGGAAGAGGCAACCGCAGCTGATACGTCAGGTGTAGAGGAGTCGCGAGCTGAGGATGCGACGAAGGAAGAGGTGTTTCACGCACTGCGAAATGTGGTGCTAGAGATCGGCGACAAAGGTGGTGATCGACAGGCGAACACAATCATCAATCTCCTCCAACATCAGTCATTTGATGCAAGCTTACTCAGGATCGGCTTCGAATCTATTCAGGAAATGCGCCAGAAAGCAGAAGAGGACGCTAAATGCTGGCTCGCGGATCTGAACTTCAAGCAGCAGACCATCTACGACCCCAAGAACTGCAACGTGTATGGTTCCGCTCGCCAGTCGATTCTCTCAAGCGCCAATTTGCAAAAGCTCAGTCACACCAGCTCTTCTTCGATCCATTCATAGAAACGAACCGCGCCAATGTAAGAGTTTACAATCACACGATGGGCTGCGCTCTTATAGAAAACGTGGTTCCTCTGATAAAGGACTTCATCATCAGTGGCGATGGCGGTGGATTCTGGATTGATAATTACAGCTTCGTCGGAGCGATTCAAGCTTACTCAGACAAATCGTGCCAGACTTTGAAAGTCGGATCTCACTCCTTCCTGCCTTTCCATATCTGCTCTCTGAACATGACTCAGACGATCCGACAGGAGCTCATCTCCAACGGCGACACTATCGTTGCGTACTTTCCAGTTGAATTCGTGCGGGCTGCAATTAATGTTACCAACTCTACCGGCGATGACGAGGAATATTGGTGCTGCGAGGAAGAGGAACAGACTTTTGTAATGCCAGAAAGAGTTTCAGTCCAAGAGCGGCGATTATCGAAGAGCCGTGTATTTCAGGCATCAATCAAGGAGGCCTTGCTTCCGCTTTGGGATGTATCGCGCACTGGAATAGTCGTAGCAGATGGAGAGGGAAATGTCCGAAAATGCCACCCTGTTCTAGCCTCATATGCTGCGGATATGCCCGAAGCATCGGACGTGGGGGGCACGGTGCACGGGCACTGCCCTCGGGGGTACACTGCGAAGCTCGATCTTGCCTCGGAAGAGCCTTGCATTCCACGTAATATCTTGGACACTGTGCAGCGATTGAATAAGTTCGAAGTCGCTGAGCAGGCTTGTGATACGGCGAGAAAGAAGTCTCTACAAGAAAACATGAGACTGGTAGGCGTGACGACGGTTCGCCCTGCCCTTTTGAAGTGGCCGTTCATGGATCTAATCGAAGAACTGGCACTGCCGAGACTGCTGCGTTTTGAAACATTGCATAATTTTTTCCTGGGTTTATCGCGGACTCTTAAGGTCTGTGCGAGCGAAATGTTGAAAGATCCATTGCTAAGCACGACAGAGCTGCTGAATTCCAAAGGAGGTCCAAGAAAGCTCAAGTCGGCTAGAGTCGACGTATTGAAAAGATGTAACGCGTTTCTAAAGCGTATTCAGGCAGAATCGCCCTGCGTGGGGCTTAAGTTTGATTTCACGAAGTCCGGGACAAACGATGAGCTCTCTGGGTTCTTCACATCAACAGGGATAGTTGCCATGCTTGAGGCCAAAGACCTCGCCGGCATTGATCAAGTCATGCCATTCGTCTTTGCTCTGTTGGACAGGCTTTGTGGCACTATTAATAAGTCTCCTTTGACGACTGTTTGCGTCCTTTATCAAGAACTGGTGGCTACAGCTACCTCCCGATTCTCGGAGCCTGGCTTCACCGCAGTTGAGCTCGACGCGCTCGCCGACCAGATCTCAAATTTCCAGGACAAAGCAATCGAGGTGTTTGGCAAGTACCAGGCAAGTGGTATGGCACTTCCGAAATTCCATGCTCTTCGACACCTTGTCTCAGACATCAAGATGTGTGGGAGCTTATCAAACTACAGCGCGGACTCGTACGAGGCAAGCCACAAACTGTTTAAGACAGCATATGACAAGACTTCGAAACGCAAAGACACCAGGCAGGAAGAGGCAATGCGGCGCTTGGTGCTTGCTCAAGGAGCTCAAGAGACCAGTGCGAGGTCGATGAGCACCCGGATGCTTCCGCTCAGGGAGGAAGTCATCGCCAAGCTAATGGGTAAGCGCAGAAGGACGGAATCACTCACAAAGATCAAACAGGAGATAGTGCGTGAGGACGCTGCAGGCTTGTCTGGTGGGGGCGACATAATGATGTGGGCACAGATTCATGCACATGCAGGTTCATGCGGCAGCCTTCTCCAGCACTCAGGCGAGCTAGGACCCAACATTGCGGTGCAAGAACTTTGCGAAGATGTCGGAGGTCCCGGACGTTTGCAGTGGTATGTTGATTCAATCCAAGAGCAGCACAGGCCACCGGCTGACTCTGTTGTGCGAAGACCCGCTACTGCATCTGTTGCTGGCCTCCCGTGCCCAACGTTAAAGGGCTGTGAGGCGCCTGAGAGCGGCGCTGGCGACTTTGAGATTTTAACTATGGACAATGGAGACAGAGAGATGCAGCGTGCCGTCTCGTCACACAGCTACTACAGCAGCAAAGTAGCGAGACAGGATAATGTCATGATTGAGGAGAGTGGCGACGATCCGACGGGAGGCACAGGCGGAATTGTGCCTCGAAAGGTCTACATTGCGAAAGTACTGGCTTTTATAGCTATCAAAATCCCGCGACGGGGTCACCTCCTGGCTGAGGCATCTGTGAAGAGAGATGACATCGAGATTTGTTTCATTCGGTACTACGATCGTGTTCACGGGGACGAAATCGATGCCGTTGACCGCGCCTTGAACTGCGTGAAACTTCGTTGGGCTGTGAGGGGAGAAGATGAAACTGTTTCTCCAGGAGCACCTGCGTGCGAAGCTGAAACGTCTACGGAAATGACAGATCTCGCTTACATTGATGTGCAATATGTCGGCTCAATCCGCGGCTTGATTCACGTCGTTCGTTGCGATGATGAGTTGAGAGGCACGAGGTCGCAACCATCCCTCATCCGCAGTGGATGGGAGACGCATCGATTCTACATCAACCGATTTAAGCAGCCAATGCGTAAGATGAGGTACTCCACTGCAGACCAGCATGATCACAGACCTCACGACCCGTAATGCTCCTTCTACTTAATCGCAGCCTTAGCACTGCAATCGGAACCGCTGGGACAACTCTGAGAATACGGACCGCTCGTCAAAATCTTGAAAAGACACTGACTGAGTCAATCGAGACAAAGAGCGTCCCACAATGTCGATCGTGATAAAGTGTTTTCATGCCTCCCCGCTCAAGAGAGCTGATGTAATCAGGATGCACGATTCTTCAGAAAGCAAAATGCCTGGCAGTTGCAAAAATCATACACACATGCACCTGCGTACACGTGAGCTGCGATAAACATTTGCCCAACTGTCCTCAAGCTGCACACACAATCCCATTCCCGATAGCATTGCCCTTCTCGCTGTGACGTTCTACGCAATAACAAATGTACCACTTGTAGAAGCTCGGTCAACATCGCTCCGCGGCACATCCACAGAAGCCTCAACAAACCATTCCCGATGCCTGCATCGCCTCCCTCCTTCTTTGGTCTTACTCAGCGCCAGCAAACCATGGCCCCCACGCACCCCTCCTCTCTCTCCCCTTCCTGAAACGCATCATGTCTGGTCTCCCCAATCGCAGCGACAAACCCCGAAACCCCCCCGCTCCACACTCATCCTACTGTTGCTTGGTACAGTACTATCACTCGTGCCAGATGCGAAATGCTACCAGTATACACACGCCCTCAATTCCTCTAGATCAGCGCCGCATGTATTTCTCCCGTCTTTCTCGACCCACACGTCGCGCCTGGACGCCACCCGATAGACTCGCAGGAAAAATTGGAAGGCTGAAAAAGTTGTTGTCTCTATCCCGCATGTGAACCGGGCGAACTTGGATCGCATTCACCCAGCGCCGTCGCGCAGCTCTTTGTAGGCTTGTCTCTCCTTCCTCTGACGTGCCGACGCGCTCGTCGCGTGCGGCAATGGTCGTCGACTACAGAAGGGCTTCAAATAAAACGTTCAACTTTACTAGCGTAAATTTGACTATAATGTTTCGCAATTAAACTATCGCTACATAATTCTGTAACGGTCATGAGCAATTTACTCCAGCAAAAATTTACTGCCGGCGTAAAGCTTGAGGTAGTGCCTCAGGCAGGCGCAATTTTCTGCGGTGGAGTAGTCTGGCGAGGACGAGTACGTACGCAGCTTCGCCAATCCTCCTGAGGTCTGAACCTCAGGTCCGTCGGCGCACCACTGTTTCGGCCTGCCTGATGACTGTGGGCCGCCGGTGGGGGAGGCTGGATGAGGAACCGGAGTCACCGGTCCGGAGAAGCAAGCGATTGCGGCGTGGCCTCGCTTCCGAGACAAGAACCGTGGCTGATTGCGGACTTCCCTCAGTGGCTCGTAAAAGGAAAAGAGCCAACCGCGGAAGCCACGGAATCTCAAGCCATGAGCCCGAGAGCAGGGAGGGAGATGGTAGCGCTCTCGACTTGAGCGCGGCGATCCCGACGCGACTAGACAGTGAAATCGGGCCTCTGGCCACCAACGTGGCACTACACTTGGATTCTACGGTCCCCAAACTCAGTCGCCCTACAGATGTCCTTCCCCCGGACCGAAGTTCTTCGCCCCCCGCTGTTGTCGCCGGAGCGTCGACTGGCGACACGGCCGCGGGTGCCGACGCAGCTGTACCGCAGCGGCAGATCGCATCACTGCTCAACCGTGAGAGAGCGAGGGCTGATGAGCAACACATTTATATGCAGACAATGCAAGAAGTGAAAAAGCTACAAGGTGAGAAGATCAATTCGTTAATGATCGAGGTTGCTCGGCTGAATGCGCAGGTGATGGAGCTCTCGCATGCCAAGGCTGCGTTGGAGGTCCTGGTTGCAGGTTCGTCTCGTGGAGGACGCCAGGCTGCCGCCGCTGCGGAGCGCGCAGTCATTGCGACCAAGAAGAAGCGTCAAAAGGACGAGGCATTCCTTGACACGATCACCCCGCTTCAACGCGACCTTGTCGTGGTGATGAAATATGCCTCTGATGACATCGCGCGTCGTTGCATGCGCAATCTTACTCCGATGGAGCAGTCGCCAGGAATTGCAGACTATCGGTGGGTTCCCTCGCCTCTGAAGATCGCTGAAGGCCATGGGATCGGACTGCTGGGAGGCGGCACTCGAGCGGCGGTACCACCACTCGATGTGGCGAAGCTAGGCATTACAAACGGCGCACTTTTACCGCCGCAATTGTCTCCTACCATTCTGGCTCGCACTGCATACAAGATGGCTCTCGAAAGCGGATCGCTTACCAGTGCTCTGAGAGCAGCATCCAAGGAGGAGATTTCAGGCGCATGCATCTTCAATGGCATCCAAGGGGCATCTAAGCTCTCTGCGGAGGTGGCTGACAAGGCGTCGTCATATATGTCCAGCCTCAAGCGAACGGTTTGGACCAGGCTGGCCAAGGTGTGGGACGTCACTTGTATTCCGGTTCAAAACAAGCTGAAGAGTGCCTCAGTCGACTACATCATTCATGCTCTGAACAATGCTGCTGGCGAAGACGTGAAAATGATGGGAATTGCGTTTGCAGATGACGACAGCGGCGGGATCGACAAAATTATGCGAGCATGTATTGACTGTATTACCTCTGGTAGCCTAGACCACTGGCGTACAGTGGTGCCGCCTGGGCATTCAGAGAGCGATAATATTGGAGAGAGTGGCGTTGACATCTTGTTCGTTTTTGACACCGCTCGGGATATTTACAAGGAGTGGGCTGGACTACGATTGGGAAAAGAGCGCCTCAGGGCTGGCGTAGCATCAATTTTGACGCTCGCCCGCCTCGATGCCTGGATCGCGACGCGCTGCGTAATGCAGGTGGCACTGGCGAGGACAGCGCTGGGCATTGCGACAAAATTATCCGACGATGGTGCAGAGGAGAGCGATATACACTCTGCGTTGCTGGAGGTTCTGAGCAAAGGTGGAGTTTCGCACGCCATGTTCACTGACGTGCTTTCACATTTGTTACCGAAAGCAACGCTGGGTATTCACGAAACGTTGCGCGAAATAGTTGAGAGGGTTGCTCCAGAAGAGCTGGAGAAGACTCTGATCTCTGATGCCAGCGGGGAGACTTTTGAGCATGCAAACGATACGAGGGAGATAACCTTTTCGTACGTCTGCCCGTATTCGATAAAGGAGGGCAAGGACTGCGACCGCGTCGTTCTCAGACCTTCAGCATTCAAGAAATATGTCTGCGATTGGATCGGAGATGTGTGCGATGGCTTGGTGGGCGTTAGCGAGCTCACGTCTTCCCAGTTTGATCCGATAAGTTTCGACGGCGAGGGGTAGTACTCAAACCTGGAGGCTTGTAATAGAACGTAAATACTAGTGCCATACCAAAAAAGGTTCGAATAGTACACAACAATGAATTCCCGGTGATCGGTCTGTCTGTGCCTCCCCCGAACAACCAAGCATTTCTTGCGCTAGCATGTTCAACGTAAATTGCGCCGCGCCCCACTCTAAGCACGACCAGCAGACTGGGGCAGTGACGGTGTCTTCTCATTCCTTAGACGACGTCGAAGCCGCACAGCATGACCTGGACGAAGCAGATGAGCATGGTGCCCAGCTTGCCCACATCGCGAATCGTAAAAAAAATCGCCACCGAACCTCAAAGCATTGTTGAAGGTCGCTCTCTGTGCGTGGGAATGCTAGCGGCTACAGGCACGATTGTGCAACAGTGCAGGCGGATGATTTCAAAAAATCCAGCATGTCGTAATTGTTTGTAACATATATCGAAAAAGAGGTTGACGTTTTCGGTTGGCAGGTAGTCGGGGTCGGACACGAGCCCGCCACTGCTCATATATCACCATGCTCGACGCTCCGATGTTCCCTAATGCCGACACGCCTTCCATTGCCACAGCTACTCAGCACACACAAGTGTCAACGTACTCCCAAGAATGATCGATTCGAGCCTTTTCTGGCAGCTCATCGTCGTACAACCATAGAACTTGACTACGTTGACCAAAGAAGAAGCACGATGAAAACGTTCAGTTCCGTGAACGAATGAAATACTGCGTTAAGATGATCAAACGTGGCACGAGCTACAGAGAAGATCTTCTTATCAAACTTCACAGCAGTCGGAAGAAAATGGTCAAGCCAACTTCAGGAGGTTCTTGAGTTCAATTTCATTGGGGAAGTCGACGGGAGGTGTTCCAACACTGCGGTTAAGCAGAGAGATAAGTACGCATCAAAAAGTAGATGGAGAGAGGGATCGAACTGAGGACCTACGTGCGATTGGGGATCACGGTCATATCGCCGCGATGGTGAGGCTCGGCACACCACTGGAGAAGGGGGCAGACGGGGTCGACATGAATGCAGTCCGTGCTGCATAGTTGTACGAAAACGCGATCGACAAGAATGACGTCAGCGCGATGGTCGCTCTCGGCTTGCTGTTGTAGAAGAGCGCAGAGGGGGTCGATAGGAACGCGGCTTGCGCCGTGTAGTTGTACGAACGTGCGATCGAAGTAGACCTGTGTGTCGACGCGATATACAAGCTTGGCAACGTAATGAGGGATGGGAACGACGGAGTTGGGAAGGATGGAGCGCGGGCTGTCAAACTATAGAGGAGGGCGATTGAGGAACAAGATCATGTCCATTCTATATTCAATTTCGGCACGCTGCTGGCATATGATGTGGAGGGATTCGAGGGAAACACGGCATAGACAAGTTCGAGCGTGCGATCGAGAAGGGTAATGATGTCGCTTCGATGGTCAATCTCGGTCTCTTCCTTCACAAGGGCACTGAGGGAGTCGAGACGAACGCGGTTAACGCTGTACGAATGGGAGATGGTGCATCTCGGCCTCCTACTGCAGGACGGCGCGGGGGGGTCGTGAAGAACGGGGTTCGGGCCTCAGAGCTGTACGAGCTTGCGATTGACAGGAGGGACGACGTGCATGCATTGGACAATCTTGGTCTGCTGCTACACCACGGCACGGAAGGAGTGGAAATGGACGAGGTCCGCGCCCTGGAGCTGTACGAGCGTGCGCTGGATCGGGAGGTACTTGCGGAGGTAGAACGTGTCGGCGAAGAGCAGGGACGGGATGGAGGGCGAGCTGGACGAGAGGCAGCTGTACGAAGGGCTCATGGAGGGCGGAAGGGTCGGCGGAGACAAGAGGTCGACGGCGTTGCGCGCCACCAACTTGGCGTGCGTCTTGATGACCACGTGAGGGATGAGCGTGCAATCTGGCGGTGCAGATCGGCTGTCCTATCAGCTCTCCCTGCACTTTGTGCACGAGCCAGCCTCTTCTCTGCGATCAACTTTGCCGGCGCGACGGCAGCGGCGCGCGTGTGGGGCAGGCGCACCACGGGCGTGTGGCACGTCTGCGCGGACGACGGAGTCGTGGGCGCAGCTGTCGCCGTGCGGGTGGAGACGCTTCTGCAGCGCGAGCTGACGTCCGGAAGTGGTGGAAAGCGGAACAGGAGGTTACGAAGAGGGGGGAGGCTGGGCTGCAGGAGTTGCAGCGCCCCCTGTTGGCAGAGGAGCGTCGGATATTAAATGCTGGGGCGGGCAATGCCTCGACTGCAGCCACGTGTAAAATTGCGCAGGGGAGGAATTTTATTGAATTGCAAGGGTGGGCGGTGGGCCGATACAGAAAAGTTCATTTATTTCTCTAACATTATAATCTGTCTTTATTTTCACTAATCAAGGGGGGGCCGATGCACAGGGGGCCGATACTGTAGCACGAAATCGTCGGATATAAATTGGTTGGAAATTTACTTCTGGCACCGCCAGAAAGGTCGGTAGTTGTGCGCACGCAAAGGCGGGGCGATGGAGAAGGGGTTTCAGCAGGGGTGGTGTGCTTCGGTACCACTCCCCTGCTACCCTTTCTTTTGGTCGCGAGTTCAATTCTGCATGAATACTGATAATAAATAAATAATTTGTTGAATTTTAAATAATGTTTAGATTAATACATAATTTGTAGATTTACACAATTTTAATTTTTGGCAGTGTCCCGCTGCCAAATGTCATGAAGATTCGAACGTTGAGACGTTCTTCGGGCAGTACACGGCCAAAACTAAAACTAAAACGTGTGATTGAACTCGGCTTGTGCTTCTGGGGGACCTATTGGCTCGACTATTGGAAGCGCAGGAACGCCGTGCTCAACGTCAAGTGGGGGTTGGACAAGTTCTACGAGGACAACGAAAACGACATTCGCGCCGATTTCGAAGGCGATGATAGGCAAGGTTTTTATTGCCGCGGCGGGTTTGTCAACCTGGAGGATCTTGGTCCGGAAAGGGCGGCTGCGGACAATTTCGAACGCGCCAGAGAGCCGGGGCTGCGATCGAGGATCCGCGGGCAGCTGCTGCGAGTGACGGGCGCGCATGCCGCGTTCGAGCCGAGTGGCGAGGACGTCATTCGGATTGGCGGCGGGAATGACCCAGACTTTGTGCTGGACGCCCCGATTACGGGCTTGACCTTCTCGTCGTTGCCGGTCTTTCCGTATGCCAGTAAGCGCGACGTCCAGCGACGCGTTTACATCAGCTCGTTGGTCACCCTGTTTTTCGCATCATGTGTGGGCGCGTGCTCGTTTCTGAACCTCTTCTTCAAAAAATCCATTACCGGCCTTTTCGGCTCGCATGCGTTTGCCAAGTTTGCCCCAGGTATGGCACAGGCGGTGATCATTTCAGTTGCAGACCCTCTTTGGAAGCGCGCTACGCTCAAGCTGTCAAAGTGGGAGAATCATCGTACGACTCAGGCGTCTGAGAACAGCATCATTACCAAGCGATTTGCCTTTCAGTTTGTGTCCAGTAAGTTTGATGCGTCTTTGCAAGCACATCCAATCCGATTTTGAAAGTTGAACAGACCTTGCTGACCACTGCGACAGACTACATTACATTGTTTTATATCGCGTTTGTCAAGCCATTCACGCCATCAGACCCTTGCCTTTTGGATGCATCTGGAGCTCCGGACTGCATGGTTGAGCTTGGGACGCTGCTCACTTCATTGCTCATCACAAAGGCGACGGTGCAGCAGTTCATGGAAGTAGGGATGCCATTTATCAAACTGCGCGTCACTCAGTGGCTGAAAAGGAGAGAGCATCGCGAGCTAGTTGAAGAAATGGACACGACCCAGCGCATACAACTGCTCGCGGCAGGCGCTACGATTGACGATGCAGACACGCAAGATCTCGTAGAAGAGTTAAGAATGCCTCCGTATCGGTCGACGGTTGAAGACTATGGAGAAGTTGTAATTCAACATGGTTTTCTAGTGATGTTTGGCCTCGCGTTTCCGCTCGCAGCACTGATTAACTTTCTCAACAATATGGCGGAATGCCGCACGGACACATACAAAATGCTCGCCGTACACCAGCGACCGGATGCTGATGGTGCAGCGGACATAGGAGGATGGTTGCCCGTACTGAAATTTTTGTCCACTGCATCTATCGTGACCACGGCTGCTCTCGTTACTATTACGACGCCAGCACTTCAACTGGCTCTCCCGGATTTTATCGGTAACGTTGGTGAGCGGTATCCAGCGGTCTCTTTCTTGATTTTCGAACATGTCCTGTTGTTAACGCGATGGGTAGTGGACTTTCTGGTATCTGACAAGCCATCGTCGACCTACCGAATGCTTGCTCGACAAGAGTTTCTCATCGCCAAATGCTTCAATGTTGGTATGCAACCTTACTTTGAATCATCCGCTCACGGTATTAAAGAGGCATGACGTCCTATCGGCAGATAAGATCAACTATGTTCTCGGAGCATCTGCGCAAACGCTGCGCCTTGGCCGTGAGCCAAGATTACGGACACATTAGGCTCAAAAACTATTAGACAGAGCACCTTCGTAAATTCCTGCAGGCAAGCATTCGTGCTGGCTGAATGTTTTTCTGTATACAACATCCATATATCGTCGACAAGCGAGAGCCGAATGGTTTTTGGCCCTTTTGGGACGACATTGCTCTCTCCCCGAACTTTTTCTCGCGTAAATTTAGCATCCCAGACAGCCCCATCCTGGATCAAATTGATTTGCTGAAGAGCGGCGCAACCGAAAAGGTTGCCAACTTGACGGCAGTGTATCAGTCCTTTGCGATTGTCATGTCGCAAACATCCTCATATCATGCCGTGCTTTTTCAGTGGTTGGATGCAAAGGGGCTGCAGGGGAGGCCAAACAGAACTTTGCGTCTCAGATGTTCCACCACCAGCCTCTAAGACCAAAATATTTTCAACGCTGTGGAAAAAATAGGGTTGTGATGGCGCTTCAAAGGCGCGAGGATTTCTGTTATTGATGAACTATATCAAAGAGTTTTGGTGAGTGTGACTTGTTGTATTCTCGCTGTTGCACGAAAACACCAGATGTCTTGTTTCGAAAACTTCTCATAAACCGACGACGTTTTGCAAGATCTCCGGCTATTTGTCAGATCTTGCTAGTTTGAGATAGCTCCCATCAGCTTCATCATTTTATGACACATTCAAGTTTTCTATTCTTCTTGGAACTATTCTTGATTATTCCGGCAACTCATCACATTAAGAAATCATTGATTGCTTTTCATTCTGTCCATGGTCATCCCTCTTCTAGTCATTTGTATATGGACATGTTACATGAGAAAGACTGCTTCGACTTCTGCCTGCTGTGACGAGCTGGCCTGTTCTCAAGCAATACCACATATGCAACAGAGTCGAAAGCAAAATAGCCTCACTCATTCTGTCTTGTTCAGATAATCGCGCATCACCAAATCATACTCGATAAGCACAAGTGTGCACCAGCTTTAACGCGAACCAAGGGCTGACGAAAAGAGCGTTCAAAATGAATGGTGTTTCTCTATCCCCGCAACGCGGACAGCGAATATAGATAAGACTCTAAATGGAGTGTTCTGACCCTTGAGCCACATGGTTGCTTCCAGTTTATGTAAACTCCACATTTGTGTGAACGTAGCCCATGAACACCCATGCACACCAATGCCTGCATGAGCTCGCATTGAACATATCTGAATTGGTTTGGCCATCATTACCCCATGCAGACATAGACTGTTGCATGGACGGTTCTATGGAACATGTTTGGCAAAACTAAAACTTGGATTGAATCCGCCATGCGGAGCCCATGAACACCCATGCACACCAATGCCTGCATGAGCTCGCATTGAACATATCTGAATTGGTTTGGCCACCATTGCCCCATGCAGACGTAGACTGGTGCATGGACGGTTCCATGGAACATGTTTGGTATTGCATAGGACCAGGCCTAAGCAAATCCCCATGGAAAAGTTATGATAACCGCTCCAATTGTGAGCATGGGCTTGCATGGTCTCTGCATAGGAAATTTTAGAAAATCAGAAATACAGACGAATGCGTTTTTGCGTAGACTACCGCAGGCTGAACGCAGTGACGGTGAAGGACACGTACCCCTTACCGCGTATGGATGAGTGTCTAGACTCGCTTGGTGACACCAAGGTTTTCTCCGCGTTGGACGCGATCTCGGGATATTGGCAGATGCCCATCCCTGAGCGCGACCGCGACAAGACCGCATTTTCGTGTCACTCAGGACTGTATCGCTTCTCAAGATTGCCCTTCGGGCTAACTAACGCGCCAGCGACGTTTCAGAGAGCAACGGATATTCTGCTCTCTCCGTTCCGTTGGAAGTGCTGTTTGGTGTATCTGGACGACATAATAATTTTTAGCAAGTCATGGGAGGAGCACATCGTGCACGTGGATGAAATACTGTCTGTATTGGAGAAGGCAGGTGTGAAGCTCAAGCTTCGCAAGTGCGAATTTTTCGTCGAAAGGATCAAGTACCTGGGCCATGTCGTTCGGCCAGGTACATTGGAAGTGGACGCTGCGCGAACCGTCGCATTGGAACAAGTGAGGTACCCTCAAACGCAGACCCAGCTCAGAAGCTTCTTGGGACTTTGTAATGTCTACCGCAGATTCGTTCGGCATTATGCGAAAATCGCACATCCGCTCAACCAACTGTTGAAGAAAGGACAACCGGTCCAGTTGGAAGGATTCGACGAACCGTGCAAGAAAGCTTTTCATAAGCTCAAGGACGCCATCCTGGCACCGCCGGTGTTGGCCCTGCCGAAGAAGGACCTACCCTACTCGGTAGATACCGATGCAAGCGACTACCAAATCGGCGCTGCATTATTTCAAACACACCGAGATGCGCGACGCAAACCCATCGGGTTCTTTTCAAGAACGTTAGCCGCAGCCGAGAGAAACTATTCGGTATCAGAAAAAGAATGTCTAGCGGTAATTTGGGCCGTACAGACTTTAAGACCATATCTATATGGCGAGCACTTCATCGTCCATACCGACCATGCCTCATTGAGGTGGTTGATGAACGTAACCGACCCCAGCGGGAGATTAATCAGATGGAGGCTACGCCTCTCGGAATTTGATTTTGAAATCAAGTACAAAAAGGGCAAGGCAAACAGCCAGGCGGACGCTTTGTAAAGGTTGCGGACCGCAGGAGAAACCGTCGACGAAATCGACGAGGAAATTCCATGCTTTATGGCCGAACCGGCCGAGGGTACAGTGGAGGACGAGGAAAGTTTTGACGCGATAGACGACATCCTCGCTATTGAGGGGGGGACCGCCCCTGATCGCCTGGATCAATTCCAAGCTGTCACTCCGGAGGAGCTCATTCTAGAGCAAGCCTTCGACCCCTTCTGCAATCGCATCAAGGAAGAAATGGACGCCGGAAAGGTGAGAACGTTCAGCACGGAGACCGAGGAACTCGAAGGAACTCTATGCCGTACTGCGGCGGAGTTTGTACAAGTAGTAATACCACAATCATTAAGGGACCGCGTCCTAGGGTTGAGCCACTACGCAAAACTAGCAGGCCACCCGGGAGGCAGGAAACTTTACAAGACATTGAGAAGATATTTTTATTGGCCTACGATGGCCCTAGACTGCTACGCAGTCGCGAAGAATTGCGCCGCATGTGCGCGGGAAAGGGTGAAGTTAAGAAAAAACACGAAGGAAATGAAGCTGTTCACGCCCAAAGCCCCGCTGGAGTTTGTCGCAATCGACATCCTCGGCGAGTTAATTACAACTAAACGAGGGAATCGGTATATTCTCGTGATCAGCGATCGATACTCGAAACTGGTACGAACCGTACCGTTGAAGAAGATATCAGCTGCGCACATCGCACAACCCTTCGTTCACCATTGGGTATTCGTGTACGGACCGCCGGTCAAGCTGCTGTCCGACAATGGAACACAGTTCACGGCCCGGTTCTTTCAGAATGTCTGCCGAATTCTCCACATACGCAATGTGTTCACGACTACGTACCACCCGCAAGCCAACAGCCAAGTTGAGAGGTTTAACCGCACGCTGACTTCCGCGTTGCGAAAATATGTTGGAGAGCATCCCAAGGACTGGGACCTATTTAGCGACGCTGTGACGTTCGCATACAACACGCAAGTTCATCGAACTACGAACATCGCGCCCTTCGAGCTGGTGTTAGCTCGGGCGCCGAGAAGCATTGCGTTACAATTGCAGCCAAGTTTGGAAGGATTTAGCTCGAATCGAGCGTATTACCTGAAATGGCAGTCGTGGTTGGAAAGCCTGATGAAAGGCGGTGATAAGAGCATGCGAAAAGAACAAGCGCGCTACAAGCGAAACTTTGACGCAAGGCTTCGCAGACCGAAGTATGACATCCCTTCAGGATCCTACGTTTTCCTCCGGAAGGAACAGGGGACCGCAACAGAACCTAGACATAAGCTGGCACAAGTTGCCACGGGACCGTATGCAGTTAAGAAATCAGAGAAGAACACGGTTGTCGTCGCCATAGGCGACCAAGAAGAGCGCGTGTCGCGGGATAGAGTCGAATTAGCCCCTAGTCCCATGGACTACATGCCGATATCAGGCCTACGACAGGCTCTACAGTTCCTCAGCGGACGCGAGGGGAATCAAGAACGCGACGCGATGGAGAGTGAGGAAGGTTTTCCCACGCGAGCGCAGAGGTTAGAGGACGAGGAAGATGTTGTCAGTCGAAACCCGTCAGCGGAGATACCGCAAGACCTACGGAGGACAAGTAATTCAGAAAAGTTGGAGGAGTCGGAGAGTCTTCAGGAGGGGGAAGAAATTAGCCCCAGACGCGAGGAAGACAATGAGAACGCCGAGTACGTGATAGAAAAGATCATCGATCACGGGTATCAAGATGAGGAATTAATCCTCAAGGTGAAATGGTATGGATATGAGACGAAGGACGTGACGTGGGAACCTGTCGCACAATTGCCGCGCAGCGCCGTGGTGCGATATTTCCGAAGGAAGAAGTTACCCTTGCCGTCGCAAGTCGCGTGTGCGCAAGCGGGGTAACCCCCGTCAGGAGACTCCAGAGCTGACTGGTACCGAGACCGTACCGCCAAGATAGAAGGCGATGGTAATCACTGGAGGCGTGATGGTAGAAATTGACGAGTAGAAGAGACACGAAGAGAGTAGGGAGCCCTTCCCTCCAAATCTTGCAGATAACCGGACCGGTGTGCGCCGCCACGCTACGAAACAGAAGTGACACTGTATCCACAGAGGAGGCCTAAAAGCCCACTGGAGAACACACGCCCACGTCATTGACGGACGCACGTGAAAGGAAAATTGGGATCCGTGGTCCGTCCTCATGAGGTGTAATTTAATCCCAAAAGAGAGTTTTTTTGTAGTCGCTGTCGCCCACAGCCGACGGTATCCCTGTCTAGAGCCGCCACAGGGCGAAGGCGCTACCTGACCCTACTCGACGGACACAGACGCACGCATAATTTCCATACACCCGAGCGAGATACTTACAAATTGGCTACTATAACCCCTCTTCCTTTCTTTTCTTTGTTTTCTTTACTTTTCTTGTGTTTGTGTTTGTTTGTTCTATTTTAGGTTTTGATATGTTAAAGACACGATCCCGCACTG